TAAATTGTGAACAGACGTAGTTTTAGTTATTTTATGTTCCTCTTTCGTAGTTGAAATGATTTGTGCCTCGTAACTATGTGTTAAACGCGCTAGTAGATGTTTAATTTGCTGGTTTAAACCGATTTTTAGGTTAAACAGACGGAGCGACTCGCAAAAAGAGTGTAATCTCACAGGGTTGCCGATAGACGGCAAACTTTCAAACTTTAAATTACTGTTCAGCGTTACTCCTAGTTACTTATATTCCTTTACCACTTTCCAAGATTTCGCTATTAAGATTCCAGGATTTGTTTCGAGCGATTCTGCCCGCATATCCCGCACTAATAGTATTTTTGATTTTTCGCGATTTATCCTCAAATTCCACGTTTCACAATATGCGTGTATAGCCTCTATCATTCCTTGGAGATCTTCTTGCGTTTCGGAAAGCATCAACACATCGTCGGCGTACATCAATACCTTAAACCGGTGATCCCCTATACTTACTCCTCCCGAGAGACTATCCTCTATATCAAATAAAAATAGAGCGAATAGAAGGGGACTAACTAAACATCCTTGTTTCAGCCCTTGATGTGCTTCAAATTCATCTGAAAGCATATCCCCGTCCCACTCTGCCGTTTTGTTGTTGCTGTACAGACTTTGGAGAATTTTTATAATTTTCAGTGATAGAACCTTTTTGGCTACGTTATGCATTAGTTGACCTATATTAATGGTATCAAAGGCTTCCTTGAAGTCTATAAAGAACATATACATATTTTTGCCTTTTTGCCTGTATTCTTTTCCTATCGTTCTAACTACGAATAAGCTGTCCACCGTGTAGTACCGTCTCTGAAGCCCATTTGATTTTCGCTGAGAAGTTGGTTGTGTGCTACATATTTGGTCAGTCGATCAAGCAGTACAGACACAAAAATTTTTAAAATTGAGTTAAAGACGAGAAGGAACAAGTGAGTCGCTTCTGGGGACGCGACTCTACTTATACCCGTACTCAGTCAGCATATACATTTTTGAGCTTATGATTTTTTTGAATTTTAGAATTAAAAAAAAAATGTTACATTTTTTTGCTACATCTGTTATCTACATCTACATATATTATGTATATTCTAGATGGAAAATGAGATGTGTTGTCGTTGGCAGGAAGGGGCAGGGAAAGCAACTGAAAATTAATTTCGTCATTCTGGCTATAGTTATGATCCGATCTGATTCAGATTCAGCAGTCTCGTAGATATGGGCATTCTCTACGATACTGCGTTTTTAGTTTAATCGTATCATTAAAAATGTGCCTGCCACAGATTTTCGTCCTTTGTGGGGGCGGAAGGGGGCGGGGCGAAATTTTGAAATACACTTGTAGCAGTGGGATATCACATGAGTCTGGAAACCAAATTTGGTTGCCCTAGCTCTTATAGTCTCTGAGATCTAGGCGCTCATCGAGACAGACAGACAGACAGACAGACGGACAGACAGACATGGCTATATCGACTCGGCTATTGATGCTGATCAAGAATATATATACTTTATGAAGTCGGAAACGTTTCCTTCTCTGCGTTACACACATCCACTTTTACCACAAATCTAATATACCCCTTAGCTCTTTTTTGAGTACGGGTATAAAAAATGAGATTCCCCTTTAATTTTTTTTTTTCCTGGAAATTTGGTATATGATGTTTGTTCGAAAGCTAGCTGGGACCTTCACTGATTCATAAATTCTGTTGAATGCTGCTGTCAGTTGGTACGTAAATGTTGACGAGGCGTTTTTTGGAATTCACTAGGGAATTTATCTGTTCCAGGCGCTTTATTGGGCATACTCTTTTTTAAAGCTAGTTTGTTTTTCCGTTTATTTTTGGCATAAAATCTAAATTTAAAGCTATTTAATTGAAATTTGGATTGTATTAATATTTTACATTCCCAAGATACACCCTCCCAGTTTCATTTGATTTTGGGCCATAGTTAATATAGCTGCCATATAACCAATCTGGCCGATTTGCCCCATCTTTTTATACCCGTACTCAAAAAGAGTTAAGGGGTATATTGTATTTGTGGTAAAAGTGGATTTGTGTAACGCAGATAAGGAAACGTTTCCGACCCCATAAAGTATATTCATGATCAGTATCAATAGCCGAGTCGATATAGCCATGTCTGTCTGTCTTGTTGTAGTTGTATAAAAATAAGTTTACTTTTCACTTCACTTTTTTTTTTGTGAAAGTGAAAACCGGAGCCTGCCTGATAGACAAAACACTGCACAATTGGAGAAAAACACACAGCATCGACACAAATATTTATAAATTATTGATTTAAATACCTGAACAATCGTTTTCCATAACAATCTGTCTGTCTGTCCGTCTTGTTGAGCGCCTAGATCTCAGAGACTATAAGAGCTAGGGCAACCAAATTTGGTTTCCAGACTCATGTGCTATCACACTGTTACACATGTATTTCAAAATTTCGCCCCGTCCCTTCCGCCCACACAAAGAACTGTGGCAGGCACAATTTTAAGCGTAAACTAAGAGATCGTAGAGAATGCCCATATCTACCAGATTGCCGAATCTGAATCAGATCGGATTATAATTATAGCCAGAATGAAGCCAGAATTTTTTTTCAGTTGCTTTCCCCGCCTCCACCGCCAAGAGACCCGCTAGTCATTCTCTTTCTTGCTCGCACACTCTGCCGCGTTCAGTGCGCGAGCAACCCCTAGCGGAGGAGATGTAGAATCTGAATGGAACATGTACAATCTACATGTTAAATGTAGAATATACATTGTAGATGTAGATATCAGATGTGGCAAAAAAATGTAAAATATAACATTTTTTTATACCCGTACTTAAAAAAGAGTTAAGGGGTATATTAGATTTGTGGTAAAAGTGGATGTGTGCAACGCAGAGAACGAAACTTTTCCGACCCCATAAAGTATATATTCTTGATCAGCATCAATAGCCGAGTCGATAGAGCCATGTCTGTCTGTCCGTCCGTCCGTTTTGTTTGTCGCCTGGATCTCAGAGACTATAAGAGCTAGGGCAACCAAATTTGGTTTCCAGACTCATGTGATATCACACTGCTACAAGTGTATTTCAAAATTTCGCCCCGTCCCTTCCGCCCACACAAAGAACGAAAATCTGTGGCAGGCACAATTTTAAAGATACGATAAAACTAAAAACGAAGTATCGTAGAGAATGCCCATATCTACCTGATTGCCGAATCTGATCGGATCATAATTATAGGCAGAATGAAGAAATTAATTTTCTGTTGGCTCCCCCGCCCCCTCCTGCCAACGACCACGCTACTCATTCTCTTTCTCGCTCGCACACTCTGCGTCGTTCAGTGCGCGAGCAACCCCTAGCGGAGGAGATGTAGAATCTAAATCTACATAATCTACTTGTTAGATGTATAATATACATAATATATGGAGATGTAGATAACAAATGTAGCAAAAAAATGTAAAATGCGAAATTTTTTTTTTTAATTCTATAATTCTACAAAATCATATGCTTAAAAATGTATATACTGACTGAGTACGGGTATAAGTACAGTCGCGTCCCCAGAAGCGACTCGCACGTTCCTTCTCGTTTAAAACTGGTTTTTGGTTTGAAGCTTTCAGAGATAGCGTTTATTTTTTCACATAACTAAAGTATCTTACACCTGGTTTTAATAATTTTTGCCATTCTGTAAAGCTTATATGTGCAGCTATAAATTAAGTTTAAGTTATTTGTGATTTCAGCTTACCGTCAGAGAAATATTAGGCTTTCAAGTTAAAAATTGATGATTTTTGTGGGTTATTTTTTCAATCATTTTCACTTTAAAAACTTAGGAAAAGTCAAAAAATATTATATCCGGTTACCCTATAATTTTTGTGTATAAGTGCATCCGATGGCTATTGTTGACAAAACGTAACGCCTGCAGGGGAGCGAAGATGACTGTAGGGCCGAAAACGAGAATAAAAGCTGATCAGGTAAACCGGATCCCAGGCAAGTCCTTAAGTTTTGGTAAAATTGCTGCCATTGTCGAACTTCAAAAAAGTTTCCTTGTCCCCCTCCATCAACCTCAGCAGGCACGTTCAAACACCATTTTTTGAATCGGAACTGATCTCAGGACAAAATTCCAGTAGATTTCTCGGATAGCCCCATCCTGAGAGCTGGCTCCAGATATCAAGTAATCGACTTAAACTTTTGATAACTTTGAGGCAGGCTTCATCCCATAATAAACGGTGTCCAGTTTAAACAAAATACACCAAAAGTTACTATTCTCGGGTGAGACCCTTACACACCGGTACATCTTGCAGATATCACCCGTAATTGCAGCTGCATATGACCGAAATCGAGGAAGAATATTTAAAAGCTTGGGTTGGATTACAGGATCGGCCATTAAAACGTCGATCAGGGAATAGCCAGATGAAGTTGATTCGGATCCATCAAAAACTACCCGTAGAGCTATCTTCCTTTGTGACGAAATCATGAGGAAAGAAGTATCGGCAGAAGCTGATTGACTCCTCAGGAACCGGAGACACATGACCCATGATCAAGGTTCTCGTTTATGAAAGCAGCATACTGGGATTTCACATCAAGGCGATGATCTAACCTCCGCTCAAGAGATACAAATCTACGATGAGCTTGTTGGTAAGATTCTCCCAAGAGGCCCAAGTTATATTTAGCTGGCAGCTCAATAATTGCCGGTTTGTATCGATGGAAATATTGAACAAAATGAGCCTCACAATCTAGCTCTTCTTTTGTAGACTTTACAATGGGTACCATGCAATTCTCTGACTCCCAAAACCGTCAAAGAATTAGCTCAAGTCGTTCCTATAGACTATTATTCTCTGTTATTTGTGATTTCAGCTTACCGTTAGGGAAATGTTAGACTTTCAAGTTAAAAATTGATGATTTTTGTGGGGAATTTTTTCAAGCAAAAAAATCATCAAAAAATTTCAAATCCCCAAATCTATCACAAAAACGTGGGTTTGGTTCCTTGAGGAAAAATCGTGTCTTGTGATAAAAATTTTAACTGTTCTTTTTTTTCAGAAGCTCATTATTCTTTGATCGCCTTAAAAATTATGCGAATGCTGACAACGTTTTTCCTTTGGTGGCTTTTGGATTGTCTACAATTGTTATCTTAATCTATATTACAAAACATATATCAAAAATAATTTTCCGAGAAACGCTAGACACAAATTATAAAATAAAATAATAAAAAAAAAAACATTAAACGAAAATTTTTTGTTTAACTAATCGTCTTTAATTTCCGCAGTCTTTAAAACATTCCCCATCGAACATGGTTTTTGCATAGCTACACATTTCATACGTACATATCATTAAGAGTTTTAAACAGCCGTTGAAACTATTTTAATATGAAGAAAATGTCGAGCGCAATTTTGCACAATTTATTCTTATTAGTAAAGGAAGGTAGGCGTCAGAATGATGACCGATACAATAAAAGCGATTCAATAGCTATGAAGATTTTCTCTTGACTGACTACAAGGCAGATGGACCGAATTGCCAGCACCCTATGCAGCAAATCTTGGAAGAGAGCGAGAGTGAGCGATAAGAGGAGAGCAGCTCGGGGCAGATGCTAAGCCGAGCACGAACGTCATATGGAGCGCGAGAGACCAGCTTAGATGCTGCAACTGCAACAACAAAGCGAAGAAGGCGGGATAGAAAGGAAAGAGCGGCTGCTGCCGTGCATAAGCATAGGCTTATTAACAATAACAATAACAATATTAACACCCGACATTCTCTCCCCCGTTGGAAGCCGCCTGACTTTCAACAGCATCTTTAAGGGGAAGCAGACACAGCTGGGTTCACTAGCTTGGTGGTTCCAAATGCAGTCTTCAGAATAGCTACTCGGGCAACTCCATCTCTTCCGGGTAGTAGCTCGACCACCCTCTCTAGTGGCCACGTCATGGGAGGCTGATCCTTGCCAAGGACCAAGTCGCTTACTGCCAAACTCGGTGGAATTAGCTACAATGTTCAAGTATGTTGATATGGCCAGAAGAACCTTTGAGCATATCAGGCAACACCGTAGATTGCCAGTCATCCGAGGAGCCACAAAGAAAGGGCGCTCCATGAGCCCAAAGTGGTTACTCGGTCAACTCGACTGGTAGAGCACCCCGCGAGAGAATTTCATCCGGGCTCAAAGCTGTGAACGGCTTGTCCCGAATCCCAGAGAGAGCGCAACAGCCGAATCACACCATGACCCTAGCTAGCAACGCCGCTCCACAAAGCTCCTGCTTTGTGGGTGAGTGTCTTCAATGCAGTAATTTTGGACAAAGTTCTGGAATGCAGACCCTTCGACACAACATAAATGAAGGCACCATAAGCCTCAATGCTGGCGTCGCAAAAGCCGTGAAAATCTAGCTCAGAGTTCAGAATGAGTACAAGCCGAGAAAATTCATAAAGCCGAATCTGGCCGAAGCTGCTGCATATTTCCTGCCACGAGTTGTTGTTGTAATGATAGGCCCAGCTGGTCCGAGGGGATCGTAAAACCGAGTTATTGTTGACAAAACGTAGCGCCTGCAGGGGAGCGAAGATGACTGTAGGGCCGAAAACGAGAATAAAAGCTGATCAGAAACCGGATCCCAGGCAAGTCCTTAAGTTTTGGTAAATTTGCTGCCATTGTCGAACTTCAAAAAGGTTTCCTTGTCCTCCTCCATCAATCTCAGTAGGCACGCTCAAACACCATTTTTTGAATCGGAACTGATCTCAGGACAAAATTCAAGTAGATTTCTCGGATAGCCTCATCCTGAGAGCTGGCTCCAGATATCAAGTCATCGACTTAAACTATGATAACTATGAGGCAGGCTTCATCCCATAATAAACGGTGTCCAGTTTAAACAAAATACACCAAAAGTTACTATTCTCGGGTGAGACCCCTACATACCGGTACATCTTGCAGATATCACCCGTAATTGCAGCTGCATATTACCGAAATCGAGTAAGAATATGGAAAAGCTTGGGTTGGATTGCGGGATCGGCCATTAAAACGTCGATTAGGGAATAGCCAGATGAAGTTGATTCGGATCCATCAAAAACTACCCGTAGAGCTATCTTCCTTTGTGACGAAATCATGAGGAAAAAAGTATCGGCAGAAGCTGATTGACTCGGCAGGAACCGGAGACACATGACCCATGATCAAGGTTCTCGTTTATGAAAGCAGCATACTGGGATTTCACATCAAGGCGACGATCTAACCTCCGCTCAAGAGATACAAATCTACGATGAGCTTGTTGGTAAGATTCTCCCAAGAGGCCCAAGTTATATTTAGCTGGCAGCTCAATAATTGCCGGTTTGTATCGATGGAAATATTGAACAAAATGAGCCTCACAATCTAGCTCTTCTTTTGTAGACTTTACAATGGGTACCATGCAATTCTCTGACTCCCAAAACCGTCGAAGAATTAGCTCAAGTCGTTCCTATAGACTATTATTCTCTGTTATTTGTGATTTCAGCTTACCGTTAGGGAAATGTTAGACTTTCAAGTTAAAAATTGATGATTTTTGTGGGGTATTTTTTCAAGCAAAAAAATCATCAAAAAATTTCAAATCCCCAAATCTATCACAAAAACGTGGGTTTGGTTCCTTGAGGAAAAATCGTGTCTTGTGATAAAAATTTTAACTGTTCTTTTTTTTTCAGAAGCTCATTATTCTTTGATCGCCTTAAAAATTATGCGAATGCTGACAACGTTTTTCCTTTGGTGGCTTTTGGATTGTCTACAATTGTTATCTTAATCTATATTACAAAACATATATCAAAAATAATTTTCCGAGAAACGCTAGACACAAATTATAAAATAAAATAATAAAAAAAAAACATTAAACGAAAATTTTTTGTTTAACTAATCGTCTTTAATTTCCGCAGTCTTTAAAACATTCCCCATCGAACATGGTTTTTGCATAGCTACACATTTCATACGTACATATCATTAAGAGTTTTAAACAGCCGTTGAAACTATTTTAATATGAAGAAAATGTCGAGCGCAATTTTGCACAATTTATTCTTATTAGTAAAGGAAGGTAGGCGTCAGTATGATGACCGATACAATAAAAGCGATTCAATAGCTATGAAGATTTTCTCTTGACTGACTACAAGGCAGATGGACCGAATTGCCAGCACCCTATGCAGCAAATCTTGGAAGAGAGCGAGAGTGAGCGATAAGAGGAGAGCAGCTCGGGGCAGATGCTAAGCCGAGCACGAACGTCATATGGAGCGCGAGAGACCAGCTTAGATGCTGCAACTGCAACAACAAAGCGAAGAAGGCGGGATAGAAAGGAAAGAGCGGCTGCTGCCGTGCATAAGCATAGGCTTATTAACAATAACAATAACAATATTAACACCCGACATTCTCTCCCCGTTGGAAGCCGCCTGACTTTCAACAGCATCTTTAAGGGGAAGCAGACACAGCTGGGTTCACTAGCTTGGTGGTTCCAAATGCAGTCTTCAGAATAGCTACTCGGGCAACTCCATCTCTTCCGGGTAGTAGCTCGACCACCCTCTCTAGTGGCCACGTCATGGGAGGCTGATCCTTGCCAAGGACCAAGTCGCTTACTGCCAAACTCGGTGGAATTAGCTACAATGTTCAAGTATGTTGATATGGCCAGAAGAACCTTTGAGCATATCAGGCAACACCGTAGATTGCCAGTCATCCGAGGAGCCACAAAGAAAGGGCGCTCCATGAGCCCAAAGTGGTTACTCGGTCAACTCGACTGGTAGAGCACCCCGCGAGAGAATTTCATCCGGGCTCAAAGCTGTGAACGGCTTGTCCCGAATCCCAGAGAGAGCGCAACAGCCGAATCACACCATGACCCTAGCTAGCAACGCCGCTCCACAAAGCTCCTGCTTTGTGGGTGAGTGTCTTCAATGCAGTAATTTTGGACAAAGTTCTGGAATGCAGACCCTTCGACACAACATAAATGAAGGCACCATAAGCCTCAATGCTGGCGTCGCAAAAGCCGTGAAAATCTAGCTCAGAGTTCAGAATGAGTACAAGCCGAAAAAATTCATAAAGCCGAATCTGGCCGAAGCTGCTGCATATTTCCTGCCACGAGTTGTTGTTGTAATGATAGGCCCAGCTGGTCCGAGGGGATCGTAAAACCGAGTTATTGTTGACAAAACGTAACGCCTGCAGGGGAGCGAAGATGACTGTAGGGCCGAAAACGAGAATAAAAGCTGATCAGAAACCGGATCCCAGGCAAGGCCTTAAGTTTTGGTAAATTTGCTGCCATTGTCGAACTTCAAAAAGGTTTCCTTGTCCTCCTCCATCAATCTTAGCAGGCACGTTCAAACACCATTTTTTCAATCGGAACTGATCTCAGGACAAAATTCCAATAGATTTCTCGGATAGCCCCATCCTGAGAGCTGGCTCCAGATATCAAGTCATCGACTTAAAAGTCAAGGCGAAGAATATCAGCCCCAACAGGAAACGCTATCTGCTCATCCTTTGCCAGCTGATGCAAGATGTACCGTAATTGCAGCTGCATATGACCGAAATCGAGTAAGAATATGGAAAAGCTTGGATTGGATTACGGGATCGGCCATTAAAACGTCGATCAGGGAATAGCCAGATGAAGTTGATTCGGATCCATCAAAAACGACCCGTAGAGCTATCTTCCTTTGTGACACAATCATGAGGAAAAAAGTATCGGCAGAAACTGATTGACTCGGCAGGAACCGGAGACACATGACCCATGATCAAGGTTCTCGTTTATGAAAGCAGCATACTGGGATTTCACATCAAGGCGACGATCTAACCTCCGCTCAAGAGATACATATCTACGATGAGCTTGTTGGTAAGATTTTCCAAAGAGGTTCAAGTTATATTTAGCTGGCAGCCGGTTTGTATCGATGGAAATATTGAACAAAGTGAGCCTCACAATCTAGCTCTTCTTTTGTAGACCTTACAAAGGGTACCATGCAATTCTCTGCTTCACAGAACCGTCGAAGAATTAACTCAAGTCGCTCCTATAGACTATTATTCTCAGCAGCTGTGGCTGGAGCGCACAAGCCAATCAAAGACCTTTTTACCAGACACAACCCATCCAAACTTCTTTTCTAGGCTTTCTGTTTTATTTCCTGCTATCAGTTGAGCGTGGATGTCCAGGTGGTCGCAAGCAGAAGCAACATCCAGTTTAGAATCCTGACAACCATTTCTCGGGCCCCGTGGTACCTCAGGAACGAGAATATCCACAGAGACTTGACCAGACTCGTAAAAGAGGAGTTACTGGTATAAAAATCAAAACATCAAGCATCCCTTCCAAATTCTTGTAAGATCTTTGCTCCTAGCTTACAGTCACAGCCGACTGCAGCGAAATGATCAGTCAGCCCTGCGACCGACTTTATTATAGGGCCGTTCAACACTAATAGCCTTTTCCCACACCGCACATCTATGAGGAACGGTGGGAATTTTTGACAGATGTGAAACTCCGATTCCCACTGGCACCATTTACCATCCATGAAAAATAGGTGATGCACACAATTTGGTGCGGTAGAAAATTTTGTCTTTTATAATTTAAATGAATATTAATAATATTGCAATGGTTGTGAATTTGATTCAGCACCAAAATATATTCTTGCACAATCTAATCATACTGCTGGACATGGATGATAATAATAATGTGGTCAACATTGACGAGAATTTATTGGAATAGATCTACGTTACGAAAACACTGAAGCGGGTCATTTGTGACTGCTTTTACTAAATTCAATCAATGTTTTAAATACAATTATATATTCTATGTTTTTTGAGAAGTGGTTTGGGACATTTTAGGAGAAAGATGTACCCGTTTTTTAATGAAAGTTTTCTATGCACTTTGTGGTTTTAGATTACCGTTTGGGAAATGTTAAGCTTTCAAATACAAAAAATATGATTTTTGTGCGGTATTTTTCACGAAATTTTGACTTAAAAAATTTAGGAAAAGTCGAAAAAAAATATATCCTGGGTCTTTTATTATACTCGTACTCAAAAAAGAGTTAAGGGGTATATTAGATTTGTGGTAAAAGTGGATGTGTGTAACGCAGAGAAGGAAACGTTTCCGACCCCATAAAGTATATATATTCTTGATCAGCATCAATAGCCGAGTCGATAGAGCCATGTCTGTCTGTCCGTCTGTCCATCTTGTTTGACGCCTGGATCTCAGAGACTATAAAAGCTAGAGGAACCACATTTTGTTTCCAGACTCATGTGATAGCTACAAGTGTATTTCAAAATTTCGCCCCGCCCCCTTCCGCCCACACAAAGGACGAAAATCTGTGGCAGCCACAATTTTAAAGATACGATAAAAGTAAAAACGCAGTATCGTAGAGAATGACCATATCTACCAGATTGCCGAATCTGAATCTGAATCAGATCGGATCATAATTATAGCCAGAATGAAGAAATTAATTTTCAGTTGCTTCCCCTGCCCCATCCCGCAAACGACAACGCAACTCATTTTCCTTCTCGCTCGCACACTCTGCCGCGTTCAGTGCGCGAGCAACCCCTAGCGGAGGAGATGTAGAATCTAAATGGAACATGTACAATCTACATGTTAGATGTAGAATAGACATTGTATATGTAGATGTAGATAGCAGATGTAGAAAAAAATGTAAAATGTAATTTTTTTTTTTTCTAAAATTCTAAAAAATCATAAGCTCAAAAATGTATATACTGACTGAGTACGGGTATAAGTAGAGTCGTGTCCCCAGAAACGACTCACACGTTCCTTCTCGTTTTTTTGTGTATAGGTGCATTAATTCGGCATCGTTTAAAGTATTGCTTATTAAAATCTATGGAGAGCCGGCTGATCTAAAATTGGTTGACCAACCCTCTGAAAATCACATTTTACTGTTTAACCTTTGATGGCCTTACAAACAATGCTTGTTTTGAATTTTTTAAATTTTACATGTAGCATAATTGGTATTACTTACCAAGTAAAACAACATTGGTTTGTAATATACACCCATAAAAAATCAACGAACCACAAGATAATTAAACAAATTAAATTATTTTATACTTATCATTTAATTCGTAACAAAAACCAAAATAACCCGCATGCACTCACTTATGCACGTTTTATAACTTGCACCTTGTTGAGCTTTTTCAATAGCGTAGGTTTGCGATATGTTTATTAACGAGACGATGGTTGTTCAGACTAAATATGGTTTATTGTTGTAAACAGTATAGAAGGCGTTACAGAGTCAAAGGGATAGCGAAAGGTTCGAGTTAGTTTGATGACGAGTGGGTTGGAGAGTTAGCTGGATTCAAGACGGGGTCAGATTGTTGACGCGAGGGTCGGTACAAGACGGTATCGGATTGAATAGCTCGATTCCAAGACGATGTGCAGTGGTTGCTAGATTCAGACTTAATCAAATGGCAGGCGGGCCGAATCGCCCGTGCCCTAATGCGAGCGAGAGAGCGACAGATCGAGAGAGTGATAGCAAAGCAAAGGAAAGGAAAGAAAGAAAGGCGCGAGATGAAGAGGCGAAAGAGAACGGATGCATAGGCTGCTGCCGTGCGGGAGCATGAATGCGTGCATGAGTTTTTAGGTAGATGGCAATTTAGTACACTGGGCAGTGCAAACAACGAACAATAATAAGGATTTACTCTTGTGACGGCACTTCGGCCGAGGTATGCTCGCCGCGCAGGGGTCCACAGAAATTTATTTGATCTCTGGATGTGGTAGCTGAAAGAAAAGGTCTCCTGGTTCAAGAATGAGGCGACACAAGTAAGGTGGCAAAAGTAGGTGGTTATGTTTATTGATCTTAAGGGTACAGAGTTAAGTGTAGTTCTTCGGAGGATCACTAGCTTGGCCTCGAGGTCTTCCTTCGGGGTCGTTAGGGCCG